ATAAAGTTATTGTATTCTGTACAATTCTTGATTTTAAATGTGTCTTCTCTTTATCTGAACGTGGTATTCAAGTACAAAAAAGACACTGGGGCATTTTACAAATTCCAACACTCGCTTTGTTGCTTGAAATCCAAAGTTTGGATCATTTATTGTGGGAAAGCCATACAAATCTTACAATTGGTTAAAAAGAGGTACATTCACGGATCTCACGATTTTGGGCCTTGGTACGAGGGGACAAATTTGGGGCTGCTATATACTCAATTTTTAAATATTATTTACTCACATATTTATCAAATGCAGGTTAAAATTGTTGTTTTGAGAAGAATTGCTCGTCTCCCTATTTGTATATTATTTGCCCTCACTAAACTGCGATTTAGCGGAAATCATAAATGGAAATTAGCTAACTGTAATGCAATGTTATTTTTCAATTCTAATTTTGGACAATTACAAGCATTTTGATTTCATTGAAAATATACATTCGGTACCTCTTGGTGTTTCTTTCAAATTGAAAAAGAGAAATATCATGCCTTGTAATTCTGGCAATAAATTAAAAAAAAAAGTTCGTAAGTATTTATACAGGTCAAATTCCATCACGATTTGTGCTAAAACCCAGATGTACAATTGTTTTTCTTCGTCTTCGAGGTGAAACGTGAGCCCTTAGTATCATACCATCAAGTAGCCATTCCAATCATTCGTTACTTGGAGAAATTAACGATTGTGTTTGCATAATCGTAAAAAATACACATTACTTTGCAAAGAACCCGCAATTCTATTCTAAAATTTGATGGAAATCTTGCTTAAAACAAACGCCGTATCGTTATAAGTGGAGAGGTTATAAATATCTTGATAAGGATTACAGGATGAAAGTAAATATTCCATATCCTAGTAAATCATTAATGATATTGGAACTCTCAAATGATATCGCATTTGGAGAAAGATTTTCATTAGTTTGGGTTTTCTTACCCAATGGGGAGCAATAAAAAGAACATTTTTCAAAACAAAATGTTTGATTAAAACCACCGTCCTGGGGATGTTTTCATACTGGTTATATTCTACTCATATATCACTAGTGATCTATCAGAATTTGTTTCAACTGTTCATAAACTTGCATTGAATCATTTAACGACATGTTTCAATCGTGCTCTAAAACGTAATTTAATTTTTCAACCCCCCCCATTTTTTTTTCATTTTGTGAAAAATGGTTCCCCGTAAGTGTATAATAGTATAAAATAAGAAAAAAATATTCTGAAATATTGAGAAATAAAAAAACATTGTCTTAAATGATCGGCTCTAGAAACAATACGTCTGTTAAATATTTTTGAAAGTTATTTACTTGTTTGATAAAGGCTAGACTATAGTTTGAAACCTTGGTAAATCGCTCTGTTCAAGAACTCTGATACAATCAGAGAAACTTCTTTTAAATTTTAATGTGGGAAAGTGCCAATCATAGAATTACTTTCTCTATGGTGGTAACATACATTCAGTAAACACGCAATGTTCTAATTACTTCTGATCTTAACAAGTGTTAACCAGAGGTCGAGGAAAGTCAAAATACGACCTCTGCATGCAAGAATACAAGGTCCAGTTGAAATAAAATGGAATTCTTACTTCTTTCAAGTAAGGGTACCAGGGTTTTACATTTAATACCAATGAAGCTTTTTAAGACATTATACTGGATTATTTGCGATTCTAAAGCAATTTGACAGTGTCTGAATATTACATAACATTGGTTTCCTTACGCTGGTGGTAGATGACCTCTAGGGGTCATGGACTCGAGTACAAAATTAATGAGAATGCCTCTCCACGGGTTTCCTTCCAAAGCACACATTTGCTTAGTATATACCTGGAATTTGCAGAATTCACAACTCTAACTTTAAATGTGTCAGATAATGATCTCTTATAATACAAAATAGTAATTAAAAGTAAAATCTAATCTGTGTTTAATCGTTTATTGAAGCTCAGTGAAGTGTCATCTGAAAGCTATTTACAGGACAAAATGCCATCAAGCACTCTAAGGGGAATAACCCATTTACTCTACTCATCAAAACAATTGGAATTCACATGTTCATGTTTAACATGATCAAAAATACCTATCTCTATAAAATAAGATCTATGTTTCCCTAATCTAATTAGAGTAATGGAATCTGTTAATAGTAAAATGAATCCATGAAACTTGAAGACTCAAGAGAAAATGACTTAATATTATTCAAATCTAAACAGACAAAAATATGAAGCACAGGAAAGATACAAAATACAGAACAAAATGTTTACATGTATACATTTGTGACTAGCTAAGACAATTAGTATTACATGTACAATGCAGCTATAGAGGTAAGCTACATTATTTATTTGTTCCACAGATTATTGATAATTCTAGAGAATTCTTTTTCTAACAGTAATAACCAGAAGTCTCTGTCGAGACTGTAGCTCTACTGGTTTATACTTAAAACAAAGGAAGAGAAAAGTAGCAGTTGGGACTTGAGACATTAAATCAGCAATAAATAGAAAAATGATCCTATGCCACTCATCAAAATAAAAACCAATGCACAGAATTATGTATCTTAGTATAGTCTACTTGTGTGCCAAGTTATACTGAAATCAGACCAAAACTGCAGGAGGAGTAGCATTTTGAAAGAATTTCACAGAAATTTCTGTTTTTAGTAACCATGGCAACATTGTTCATTGAAATCAAAAACCGATGCACAGAATTATGTATCTTAGTGTAGTCTACTTGTATGCCAAGTTATATCAAAATCAGACCAAAACTGTAGGAGGAGTAGCATTTTGAAAGAATTTCACAGAAATTTCTATTTTTAGTAACCACGGCAACACCGTTTATCGAAATCAAAAACCGATGCATTGAATTATGTATCTTAGTGTAGTCTACTTGTGTGCCAAGTTATACTGAAATCGGACCAAATCTGTAGGAAGAGTAGCATTTTGAAAGAATTTCAAAGAAATTTCTATTTTTAGTAACCAAGGCAACACCGTTCATCGAAATCAAAAACCGATGCACAGAATTATGTATTTTAGTGTAGTCTACTTGTGTGCCAAGTAATATTGAAATTGGACCAAAACTGTAGGAGGAGTAGCATTTTGAAAGAATTTCACAGAAATTTCTATTTTTAGTAACCACGGCAACACCGTTCATCGAAATCAAAAACCGATGCACAGAATTATGTATCTTAGTGTAGTCTACTTTTGTGCCAAGTTATATTGAAATCAGACCAAAACTGTAGGAGGAGTAGCATTTTGAAAGAATTTCACAGAAATTTCTATTTTTAGTAACCACGGCAACACCGTTCATATATATAAACCGATGCACAAAATTATGTATCTTAGTGTAGTCTACTTGTGTGCCAAGTTATATTGAAATCAGACCAAAACTGTAGGAGGAGTAGCATTTTGAAAAATTGTTTACAGACAGACAGACAGACAGACGGACAGACAGACAGACGGACGGACGACGGACGCATTACTATCGCATAAGCTCTTCTGGTCTCTGACCAGTAGAGCTAAAAACAATGTAAGAGAACAGAGACTTATTGTTTCTCAGATCACAACAGAATATGTGTACTTAGAAATAAAAGAACTGATACATGTAGTTACGTCCGCTGTGATTTCATTCAATAATTCCTCAAACTTCATCCTGTCCTTGAAAGAATAATTCCTAAATGGATAAACACACCTAAATACAGTTTAATACAGTGTAAATATATGTATAAATGGAAAAATGAAATGCTGAGGAATCGGTTATGGTTTTTTGTGAAAAAAAAAAAAGTGTATGTGAATTGAAGATGACTAGAATGTAAATATATAAATTACATGTACAGATCTGCCATTTTGTTTATAAATTATACATAATGTATATTGGCTTTGTAATTGCATACATTGTACATCACAAAAAAAAATGGATTTACTAATTCATATAATTACTAAAACAATACTGAACTTGCATTTGGGATAAATCGGCAAATTAATGTAAATTCATACCCTTGAAGTAATTGTACATATACAAGTGTTATATAAAATCATGCAAATCATACTAAATGTGCTGAGACTTTTGGAACATTTTACACTTGACTTACACTGTTAAAGGACAAGTTCACATTTTATGTGTAGATAATATTTAACACCCTGTAAATAAGCAAAAAGTCTTTTAAGTAAAAGCTTGAAAATAAATCATATAAATATACAATAATTGTCTATCACAAACTCTTTATCACAGTAAAAAAGCAAAAATAAGCCATTCTTATTGCACTGTCATTGACTAATTCTACCTAAATTTACCACAACCACCAAAGAAAATCCAGATCTTCAGGAGATCAACTAACTAACAAATAAAACCAGAAGTCTCTGTCGAGACTGTAGCTCTAATGGTTTGTACTTATAACAAAGGATGAGAAAAGAAGCCATTGCCATCAGACCAAAATTGTAGGAGGAGTAGCGTTTTAAAGGAATTTCACAGAAAATTCTATTTTTAGTAACCATGGCAACATTGTTCATCGAAATCAAAAACCGATGCACTATTCTATGTATCTTAGTGTAGTCTACTTGTGTGCCAAGTAATATTGAAATCAAAGCAAAACTGTAGAAGGAGTAGCGTTTTAAAGGAATTTCACAGAAAATTCTATTTTTAGTAACCATGGCAACATCGTTCATCGAAATTAAAAACTGATGCACTATTTTATGTATCTTAGTGTAGTCTACTTGTGTGCCAAGTAATACTGAAATCAGACCAAAACTGTAGGAGTACCGTTTTAAAAGAATTTCACTGAAAATTCTATTTTTAGTAACCATGGCAACACTGTTCATCGAAATTAAAAACCGATGCACTATTCTATGTATCTTAGTGAAGTCTACTTATGTGCCAAGTTACATTAAAATCAGACCAAAAGTGTGGGAGGAGTAGCGTTTTGAAAAATTGTTTACAGACAGACGGACGGACGATGGACACCTTACTATTGCATAAGCTCTTCTGGTCTCTGACCAGTAAAAAAAAATGCTATCTTGAGACAAAATTAGCTCACAAAAAATAATATGTCATAAAGGGGGGAAAAGACAAATAATACAAACATATACTTTTAAAATACTGGAATAATGAAAAATTCATAAAAAGGCTGGGGAAAAAACAAAGTGTAAAATTATTTGGAACACATTTGTGGCTGAAATGTAAGATTGGGCCATTTACTTCACTTGTTTCAAAACTCGAGATTTCTCATTTTTAAATCTCTTGTACTCTCTGGAAGCAAATCTTTTCTCTGCTGTGGTAACAATATTTTCTTTACAAGGGATGTTCTCTTTGTCATCGGACGCCAGCGGTTTCCTCCTTCCAAACATCCCAAATTTCTCCTTCTTCCCTTTGTGAGCCTCCGCCTCTGGTGTGTTCCTAGGTTTCAGCACTGCCCTGGAAATCTTCGTGAAGAAATTACTGACAGAAGATTTTCTCTCCGGTTTTGGTTTGCACTCCATGTTCCCAACATGCATCTTTTCTGATGGTATCTTGAGAACTGGACCTTCTTGCACACAGCAGACATTCTCTGCGTAATCGTACTTCTGCTGCTCCTCGTAATACTTCACATCCTCAAGGTCCACAGACTTTCCATTGTTTTCCAGATTTAGGGACGTAATGTTGCACATGCTCTCTGGCTCAGCGAGCGGAGCGGCTCCCTCCTCATGCATCGACTCCTGGTGCACCAACTCCTCATACTTCATCCACTTCTCCGTGATCAGAATGGAGTCCGTCAGGTCGCTACGACTACGGCTGTGACTCCGCCTCTTCCCTGTGACCTTCAGTTCCTCTACACGCTTTGCAATGAGGGGAAGGTCACCCATTATTTCCGGGGAAGCCTCTTTAGTTGTGATCAGCTCCTGCTCAAACTTAGGCTCATCTGACAGTATGTCAGCTGCTATAAATAATTTAAACAATCTATATATTTAAAGTGTACAAATTTGCATTAATCTTGTTAATAACCAGACTTATTGAACAATATTTTCTTTTATGAATAAAACTTATTTTCCTGAAATGTTCCTCTCATATATATTGAAATCAATACATGTAAAACACAGTTGATTTGCAAACAATATATTTATGTTTAAGAATACCATTAACAGATCTGATTTTTATTTCCTCTAAAATAAAGAAATATGAATTTATAACTCTAACATACCAGAGCTGGTCCTGATATTGACATGTTTGAGTGTCGGGGTCAGGAAATCCTCATCCATGACCTCTGACACAGGTCGTCTGCTGACAGGACTACCAATGAAGCTGATGTTACTGAACTCCAGAGCCTCAATATCATTGTCAGGGGTCACGACCTCTGACTTCACCACAGGATGGAAGTTTCCATGGTGAAGGTCATCCAGAATCTTTTCCAACACTTTGTGTTTGTCTTCCAGAATAGAGGAACTAGCCCCTGTAAATAACAAGAAGAAAATTCACATTTTCTCAAAGAATAACTATTTCATTTGAGGTCATGTAATGGAAAAGGTCTAAGGCATAATTCAAATTTGGCTTCCTCTCCGGCTACCCGGTATGTGACATATATTTATGCGTGAAAAATATTTGCTACTTGCTAGGACGTTTGATTCTAACAATTAGTCAATTCACTCAATTTTTTAACACTAAGAGGTCTACAAAACAGAATACTTCGATAGAATAAAATCTTTATTACCGAAAAGATATAAATCAAGACAGTTTTAAAAGTATCAGAAATTTTATGCAAATCATTCATCATTTAATGTAGGTCTATTGTGAGCAGTTCATGTGCATGTTAACCATTCAGGAAATGAATACAGGTAAGCATCAAATATACTGTATATGTATATCTAAGATTTGTTTGTTTTATACCTGCATCTCTTCCAAACTCCAAGGCCAAAAATCTGTTCTTTACGTGGAATTTAATCTGGTCATTTTTCTTCTTCGCAAGCTGACTTTGTTTGTTAAAAGTAGCATTATCCTGTCATATGAAATACAGTATGTAACATAAATATACCAATTCAGATGAAAAGTAAAATGAAAAATACCCACTGTATCTAAATTCAATTTGGCTCTTGTGTGTGTGTATTGCTTAATTTATTCACTTTCATTTTGCCATGGCTTAATTAACTTACATTTTGGCAGCACTTCACTTATTTACTTACATTTTGGCACCGCTTGACTTGTTTACAGAAGCGGTGTAAGCACTGAAGTGTGGCCTCTAGGTCAAAACTATATTGGTCTTCACAGAAAAAGTTTGCCATTTTCAGGGTCAAGGTTTTCAGCTGATTTGTAGCACTTTGTATGGTTAAAAGCTCTAACTTCACCTCCTTCAAAAATACACATTATATTCCATCAAATCTAAATATATTCACTAAACCATTCCTATTTAATATGCAGCTACTTGTTATACATTATTACAAAATTTATCTGTACATGTATGTATCAAAACATTTTTTGTATGAGTGGTGTGAAAATAGATGTATGGATTAACTCTTTACATTGATTGATGTTCACATAAAAAAGATGAAGGTACTTCAATCACCATCATTTTGTGATGTCCATGTAATTCTATAACTTTGAGTATACATGTACCTACCTCTATAAACATGTGGAACCTTTGTCTCAGCTTGATGTTAGCGGTGACCAGGTGGTTCATAAATTTACTCAGCTGTTTATTGAACTTGTTTATCTCATCCTTTATCTCAACCAAAGTGGACCTAAAAAGCAACAATTCTAAATCTGTATTAATCACTCTACAGATTTTAAAATGGCTAAACTGTGTAGTAATTTACACTGTACTTAAGTTGGAAGTCTTTTGTATATGAATTTCTTGATTATATGACCCAATAAATTTCCTTCAATCTTACAGTGTGATCTTGTCCAGTTGCCCCATCTCTGGGATGAATTTGAGGATCGAGTCATCCTTGTCGTGGATGGCCTTGACCAGGTGATGTAGGAGAGACTGATTTGGAACCCCTGACTTGACCTCCATCAGTCGCTCAAAAC